TGAATTCCTCAATTCTTAGTGCCTCTACAGACGTCAACCCGAAAATAAATATTTTTACTAAATACATAATTATATTACAGATTAGATGTGTTGGTTTTGTTACATCACCCAGTAACACTTTAAATAAATCTAATTGTATACAATTGTACTGAGATATCCAGCTTTGTACCTTTATCCAAAATAAGGCTATTATAGGACAGTACCAAAATAAATGGTCTACTGACTCCACTTCTTCCAGACAGAATCGACAAAGGGGTGATGACTCTATTCCCCATATATTTAGCATCTTTTTAGTTGCTAAAAACTTATATATTAACTTACATAGAAAATATCTAATCTTTGGATCAAGTGATGTACTGTAAAGGATTTTGAAAACTTGGTTCCATGGGACTGGTGTATCTAACATATTTTACCAACTGTCTAGAATCCTGTATGGTACAGCGACTAAGTTCTTTATTCTTAAATAAAATGTTTATATATGTTTGTTGATCTTTATTCTATTTAACCATTTTGCCATTTTCATATGAGGGCTACAGACAAAATGCCCTCCTGTTCCTTTAATAATTTTTGATTTCCAAGCACTTGCTCCAATAAGCTGATTATATTGTTGCAATGTACAGACTGTTCCATAAAAACTAGTTAATTGTTTGTAATTGTAATTGTTTGTTGAGTATATCATCCTCATTCACTATATCCCTTATAAAAAATAATTCCTATATCAAACAAGTGTTTCCAAAAAATCATCAGTCTATCAACAAGTATATTAGAATTTAACCATATTATATGTTGTAGAACTTGTTCTGCATTTTCTGGTGGGTGAAACTGAAATTGAAACCAACTTTGTAGCACTTCTTCCAGAAAAGTGGAGACCCCAGAAAACATGTCATTAATTAATGCAAAATGCATAGGTTTAATTTGCAGAAATGAAGAGAAGCCTTTATCAAACATAGGATGGACACTTTTAAGTAATTTGCTAGAAAACCAGTTTGGATTGAAGTAGAATTTTGGAATAAGGGAAGCCTTCAGTGAAAAATTTTAAGCTTTTATGTTTAAGAGTTTTAGCCCACCAGATACATAATCATCATAGAGATATGCAGGTTTAACTTTATCAGGTTTATCATTCCATATACATTTGAATATCTTCTGTTCATATATTTTGAAGAATGATTCTTTAGGGGTTGGTAATGCCATAATTAAGTATTTAAACTGGGATACAACTAATGAGTTAATTAAAGTTATTTTGCCATAAATGGTCAGATGTTTCCCCTTCCAAGGCAGCAGAATTTTTTCAATTTTACTCAATTTCTTATTCAAATTAATCGTTGAAATTTCACTCATATTTTCTGGGATGTGTATACCAAGTACATTGACCGATCCATCTGTCCAATGAATTACATGGATGAGTGAAATTTCTATTTTTCAGGGAACCAAGCCTCAATATTTGGCATTTCTCATAATTTGGCTTCAGCCCAGATAGGTTCGAAAAGTCATCTACAGTGCCTGACAAAAGTCTTGTCGCATAAGGACATAGTAACTAAAAATAGCATATAACTTTATTTCTAACCAATGAATCGTTACAATAAATGGTCCATTTTAATGTCAAGGGCTTTCACATTAATAATTTGGTGCAAAATGAAACCGTCAAAAAGTGTTCTGATGTTCACAGCTTGGCTAAGCCCATAACATCTGTTTTTGCTAGGACAGAAGTCTTGTCGTCTCTTCAGATGATGCAACAAATCGCAGATTAGAGTTTAACCTATGACAAATACTGTAATTAACACATTCCCAGATGTGTATAGAAATAACCCCAGCACACCAGACTTTCATATGAGGTGCGACTAGACCTCTGACAACATACCAAAGATTCAACCACAGACCAAAGTGCTGATCATCAAGAGCCTGAAGACTGAGTCTGCTGCTGAGGTGGCAGACATCTTCAATGTATCCAAATGTCAAGTGGAGGGGATGAGAAAAAGATTTGAAGAAACTGGTGACGTTCATGGCAATCGCAGGTCAGACAGACCCCGGTATGACAACTGTTTGAAAGGACCATTTGTTGCTTCAACTGTACAAGGCTAGCCCTTCTTCAACTACAGCCAAGCTACATGAGGAAATGTCACCAAAAATCCCAGTATCTACAAGAAGAGTTTGTCAAATTCTCTCTCAAAGTGGTTTTCATAGCCAAATTAGTACACAGAAGTCTGCATTAAACAGAAAACAAAAACCTGCATTGCATTTGCCAAGGCCCACAGCTTGCAGAAAGGATTGATACTGGAAAAGTGGCTGAAAGTTTATTTTTCTGGTGAATCATCCATTGAACTGCATGCCAGTCGCCGTACAAGACCTGTTGGAACCCTCATGGACCCAAGATTCTCCCAGAAAACAATCATGTTTGGTGGAGGAAAAATCATGGTTTGTTGTTACATCCAGCATGGGGGTGTGAGAAAGATCTGCAGAGTGGATGGCAACATCAACAGCCTGAAATATCAAGAAGTTCTTGCTGCCCTACTTATACTGCTGCTCCTTCTCATTCTTCTGCCTCCATGTCACAGTTCCTGAAAGCGAAGAAGGTGAAGGTACTCCAGGATTGGCCAGCCCAGTCACCTGACATGAACATTATTGAGCATTTCAGGGGTAAGATGAAGGAGGAGGCTTGGAAGATGAAACCATAGAATCTTGATGAACTCTGGGAGTCCTGCAAGACTGCTTTTATGCCATTCCAGATGATTTCATCATCAAGTTATTTCAGTCATTGCCAAGACGTATGGATGCAGTCCTCCAAGCTCATGGGAGTCATATGCAATATTAATTCTTTTTTCCAAGGCACCATGGCTTTATGTTCTGATATTATAGTGGCATATTTGTGTATTCAAAATAAAGTGGATGTATAATTTCCACATTTTTTTCAAAGCGACAAGACTTTTGACCAAGCAAAATCTGACCTTTCTGTACAAATTAAATTATAAAACTCAATCAATGACACAAAACTCTATTTTGGTATATTTCGCATAATCTAGAGGGCTTTGCCTTTCATATAAGCCATTTTTGATTCCAATTGATCAACTACAAGTCAGGTTATTATTTGTTGTTCCTAAAACTTGGATAAGTGACAAGACTTTTGTCAGGCACTGAAGGTCTTTTGTAAGGCTCTGTCGTGATGTACTATAGTGAGGGCTCAATAGAAAAATTGTATCATCAGCATACAGTGAAATCTTTGTATTTAGGCCTTGCATTTCCAAGCCTTTGATATTATTATTTGTACGTATTTTTATAGCGAGTATTTCTATTGCCATAATAAATAAATACAGTGATAACGGGCAGCCCTGTTTTACCCCCCGTGAAAGGGGAAAGGGTTTTGAAATATAACCATTATTTATAATTTTGGAGATTGACTTATTATACATAACTTTAACCCACTGTATTAAAGACTCACCAAAATTAAAAAATGAAATCGCATCTTATTTTATCAAAGGTCTTCTCAAAGTCTGCTATAAAAACTAAACCTGGTTTCTTTATTTTTTCATGATGTTCTATAATTTCGAGTAATTGTTTTATATTATGTGCAATATTTTGTCCTTGTATAAAACCAGACTGGTCATGGTGTATAATATCAGGTAGGACATTTTTTATATGCAATGCTATGCATTTAGCTAATATTTTCGCATCATAACACTGAAGAGTAAATGGTCTCCAGTTTTTTAAGTGAACCGGATCTTTATAATGGCCACTAGCTTCTTGTTTTAAGAGCAGAGATATTACACTTTCCTGCTGAGTCCCTGTGAGAATACCTTTGTCATATGAAAAATTTAAACTTGTAAGGAGGGGGGTTTTAATCTGATCGGAGAAAGTTTGGTACACTTCTATTGGAATACCATCCATTCCTGGCGCTTTCCCCTTTTGAAAGGACATAATTGAATAGTAGAGTTCAGTTTCCGTAATTAGACCCTCGCAAGTTTCTTTCTGTTCCTCCGATAATTTAACTTGATTACGAGGGAAAAATGGATGACAATCAATGTTATGTAGTGGAACAGGTGATGACTGGAAGGAGAAGATCTCTGTAAAATAGTTCTCTCCTTCAGTCAGAATATCTATAGGTGAAGTAAGAATTGCGCCATCATTTCTTTTTACCTCTGTATATTTTTCTTTGCTAAATTTCCATGTTGGAGACTTAAAAATCATTTATTGTATTTTTCACCCTTCTCCATCCATTTTGCTTTATTCCTGTAATGTATTATAGTTGACCTGTCATAAATTAGTTGTTCAAATTCTTTTTGTTTTTGGTCCAGTTTGTCAGCCACATCCTGAGTTGCTTCTGAGCTGTCAAGTAGTGATGTAAGCATCTCAACTTCTTTTTTAATTTTTTGTTCATTTAATCTTAATTGCTTTTCCCTTTGTGAGGCAAATTGAATCGTGTGGCCTCTAAAGACACATTTAAATGTATCCCATACAATAAGAGGGTCTGCTGATCCAATATTATGTGTAAAAAAATCTGTAATAAATTCTTCTGTACTGTCTACAAATGTCTGATCCTCTAGTAACTTTTGATTAAACTTCCAGTATCCCTGTCCTCATGGATATTCAGTTAGTTCTAAATGAAGTGAAATAAGTTGATGATCAGATTTTAGTTTGTCTTCAATTGCTGCCTTTTTTGTTTTGGATAACAAAGAAAAGGAAATAAGGAAATAATCTATACGGCTTGCCTGATTCTGTCTTCTCCACGTATATTTATGTAATTCTGGATTTCTTAATCTGCAAACATCTACCAGATCCACTGTATTCTCTATTGATATGATGTCTGTAGAAGCATGTGGGTGGTGATTAGCTGAATTATTTCCCTTACGATCTATTAAATTATTCTTTACTGTATTAAAGTCTCCAACCATTATGAGATATTTGCTTATGAATTTTGAGGTTTTAATAATGTTGTTAATAGATTCAAAAAAGTGTGTATCATCATTATTTGAACCATTTAAGTTAACCGAATGTGGCAGGCCGAAGGAGGACCCGGGCGGGGAATTGAACCCCAGACTCCCGGATAAGAGTTGTGTGCACTGACCACATTGCCAAAGAGCCAGGCTCCTTGGCAAGGTAGCCAGGGCGTGTATTTATTAGAAGACATTTCTAGTGACAGGTCACTTCAACTGTCACACAAACATATTTGTTTATCCTCAATAATCATATTTAAAATGATCCACCTTCCTTGAGGGTCAGTTTCTAAAGCTTGGAAAGTATAGTTAAAGTTGTTTTTAAACATGATCATTACTCCCCTCGAATTTTTTTAAACCATGTGAAAATAATATTTGCCCACCCCATTCCTCCATCCATGTAGTTTCATCTGTCATTACTGAGTGAGTTTCTTGTAGACAAAAAATAGCATAATCTTTCTCTTTTAACCAAGTAAATATTAGGTGTCTTTTCCTTTTGTCTGCGAGGCCATTGCAGTTAGAACTAGCGATACAGACTCCATTTATTCCCATTTTTAAAGACTAGGTTTTTAGATTAATAGAGTATGAGTTTTGATGGTCAGATATACCATAGAATATTTTCTAGGGATAACAGAAGGGCTAACCATAATCCATGCAGATATAAAAAGTAAAGTAAATTCAACATAGGTGCCATGCCTGCCAATATTCATGTGGCAGTTGAAAAGCATAAACAAAAAAATGAACATGATTAGTTAAGAAAAAACCACAAACAAAAACAATACAACCTGCTGACAAAGACAAACAGATAACATATCAACAAATGAAGCACTTTTTGTCCCAAATTCCATTTCTTTGGGTAGAAATAAACAGAGATTGAATGACATTGATGGAATTAACACAGAAAAAATAGACTTAAGTATAATAGTTTTAGCAATACAACAATGCATCTTACTGTATGAGGAATCAATTAAGATTCCCCAAGTTTTAGCAGGGTTTTTTTTATTTACACAGAGATTTACACGAAAAGCAGATGAACATTGAGACACACAAAAATAAACATTGGACAGCACGGACAAAATTTGCATTTTGAGAGAGATCCACACAGAATAAGAAAGAGGTCCACACAGAATGGAGGGGAGAGAGAAAGAGAGAGGTCTGCACAGAATGTGAGAGTGTGAGAGAGAGATCTACACAGAATGTAAGAGAGGGAGAGAGAAAGAGAGAGAAAAAACTACAGAGAATGCGAGAGAGAGATAGATGATATGTATTCATTTGTTAATTAATTCATTTGTTCATCTATAATTCTATTCATTCATATTGCTTCAATGAGATTTGTGCGCTGGATGAGCAAATCATTATGCAACACAGTGCATTCCCTTACTTTGACCAGCAGAGGTGCTCATCGAGCTCCAATTTGTGGAGCTTCGAGTAATGAACCTTTTTTCGATGCAATTGTATTTGAAGTTTCTCTGGTTCGAAAAGCTTCACTTCGCCATCACTAGGAAGTAGCAGCGATAATGAAAATCACGAACCTTGTCGCAGGTGGCTCTGTTTCCTGTGTGAGCGGTGTTAAGCGTACGCGCAGCAGAGCCGCTTCTCAGAATGAGAGCTTAAGTAAACCAGCATATTATCGACCAAGTAATCATGTGACAGCAAATCAGATGACATTCGTGAGCACTCAGGTGATTCTCCAGTGGGAGAAGCGGCTCCTATAAGTTAGCAAGCTTGACTCCGTGGCCTATCAGAATTTATGTCAAGCTCCATACATTAAAATCAACAACAAAAAAAAAAAGTTTCATCAACCACACAATAAAGGTTTTGCCATGGCCATCCCTGACATAAACCCAATAGAAAACCTGTGGTATGACTTGAAGAGGAGAGTCCATAAATGTGCACCTTGGAATTTTAAAGATCTGGACAGATTATGCATCGTGGAATGGTCTCAGATCTCTTCGCCTTGTCTTTTCCAACCTGAATACACACTAAAGGACAATATGCTCAGCTGTCATCTTGCCAAAGGTACAAGATGCTCAGCTGTCATCTTGCCAAAGTGAGGCTGCACAAAGAACTGAATGAAGGGGATCCAATAATTCTGGTATGTTTTTTTTTTCAGAAAAAAAATGTGTTCAATTTTTTTCTGTTTTTTTCTTATTTTGAATTTAAAGTAGGCATGGTGGCACAGAGGGTAGCACAGCCACCTCATAGCAAGAAGTTTGTGGGTTTGAATCTGGCCTGGGGCCTTTCTGTGTGGAGTTTGCATGTTTTCCCCGTGCTGGCATGGGTTTCCTCCGGGTACTGTAGTTTCCTCCCACTGTCCAACGGCATGCATGTCAGGCTAATTGGAGACTCTAAATTGCCCGTAGGTGTAAATGTGTGCTTGAATGGTGTGTGCACCCTGCGATGGATTGGTGAGCTGTCCAGGGTGTGTCCTTACCTTTTGCCCTTGGTCAGCTGGGATAGGCTCCAGCTCCTCCCCTCTCCCCCCTGACCCTGGTGAGGAAGATGCGATATAGACGATTGATGGATTTTGAATTAAAAAGCAAGAGGATAAACAATGAAGGGATTCATTTGCAATCATTTTTGAAAATATATACCAAGGTATTAGTGGAAGGCGCAGTATCTCTCCTGAGGATTCCACTGCCAACTTTCCTTTTTCCCCGCAGCTCTTAACATAAAAAAACATCATATATTGATTCGCTGTAACGATATAACTACATATACTGATGAGTCAAGACAATAAAACCACTCACAGATGCAGCTAATGTTGATTATCTCATAACAACAGCACATATCAAGGTCTGCAGACAGATCTTAGACAGTAAGCAAACAGTCAGTTCTCTTATTAAACCTGTAGATGCAGGAGAAATGGGAACTGAAGGTCTTTGAAATGGGCCAAAACAGTATGGCCAATAGAGCGGGTCAGAGCAGGGGTTTCCAAACTCGGTCCTGGGGCCTCCCAGTGAATGCTAGTTTTTAGTTCCAGCCATGATTGCTGGGGTATTTCATTTCAGATCCAGGGATAATGAGGAGTCAGCATATGCTATTCATTGTTCTGAGGCACGTTGCTTTAGGTGGTAATATTAGAAGCTAGCTAGCTAGCTAACAGTAATAAAGACAACATACAGTTCTGATGACTGTACACATTTCCCTGGTATGATGGCCCATGCCTCCAATCCCAGAGAAGTAAATACCACTTCTGGACACTTAACACAATGCTTCCTTTTTGCTCTGTTGAGTTTTAACTGGTATTTGAGAAAGTATTTTCAGGATTACTTGGCAAAGTAATCCTGAGCCCTTGTAGTTGCGTCACTTACAGGTAAATTACAGTGTTTGATGCAGTGCCGTCTGAGTGATTGGAGACCACGGGTGTTCAGCTTAAGCTCACGCCCTTTTCCTTTTTGCAGGACAAAAAAACCCCTCTAACCTGTCAATGATTTTCTCTCACATTTGCGAGCAAATTGGTGATCCTCTGCCCATCTTTGCTTCTTGAGGGACTAGACCTTTTCTGGATGCTGATTTTGTGCCAAGTCCTGATTACAATCACCAGCTGACATCAGCTGTTTCAAATCACATCATGGATTTAATTTTTTTTTAATCACAGTACTGGTCCTAAATTGCACCCGTCCCGACTTTTTGGAATGCATTGCAGCCTGTAGTAATGGATGTGTTTTTTGTAAATAAAATGAAGTTGATCAGACAGAAAATTAAATATCTTGTCTTTGCATTGGATACAAGTCAATATAAATTTAAAATTCACTGCCTTCTGTTTTCATGTGTATTTTCCATACTAATCGCACTTCTTCTGAGTTGGGGTTGTACAAGAAAACTAGGGAAATCAAATCTGCAACCTTGGGATAATACAACCCCAATTCTGAAATAGTTGGGACGAAGTGTAAATTGTGAATAAAATCAAAATGCAATGACTTTCAGATCACATGAGCCAATATGTTATTTGCAATAGAGCATAGATAACATTTCAAATGTTGGAACTGAGACATTTTACATTTTTATCCACAAAATGAGCTTATTTCAAATTTTATGGCTGCAACATGTCTCAAAAAAAGTTGGGACACAGACAAAAAAGGGCTGAAAAAGCAATTAATATATGAGAGAATCAGCTGAAAGAACATTTAGCAAGTAATTAAGTTAACTGGCAACAGGTGTGTAACATGATTGGCTATGAGAGGGAGAGGTAGAGAGGCTGAGTCTCTCAGAAGTAAAGATGGCCAGAGGCTCTCCAACCTGTGAAGGTTTGCGTAAAAAAACTGTGGAACACTTTAAAAACAATTTTCCTCAACGTCAAATTGCAAAGGCTTTGAAGGTCTCACCATCGACAGTGATTCAAAAGATTCAGAGAAACTGGAAAAATTCTGTGCGTAAGGGACAAGGCCGAAGACCTTTACTGGATGCCAGTGATCTTCGGGCCCTCATACGCCACTGCATTACTCACCGGCATGATTCTGTCATTGACATTACTAAATGGGCCCAGGAATACTTCAAGAAACCACTGTCTGTAAACACAGTCTGCCGTGCCATCCACAGATGCCACCTAAAACTCTATCATGCAAAAAGGAAGCCATTGTTGAGCATGATCCAGAAGCGCCGCCGTGTTCTGTGGGCTAAGGCTCATTTAAAATGGACTGTAGCAAAGTGGCAAAGTGTCCTGTGGTCAGATGAGTCCAAATTTGACATTCTTGTCAGAAATGATGGGCATCGTGTCCTCCGGGCTAAAGAGAATAAAAACCACCCCTCCTGTTATCAGCGTTCAGTTCAAAAGCCAGCATCTCTGATGGTATGGGGATGCATTAGTGCATATGGTGTGGGACACTTGCATGTTTTAAAAAGCACCATGAATGCTGAAAGGTATATAAGGGTTTGAGAGCAACATATGCTCCCCGTGAGTCCGTGTGCTGAACTGGCCTGCCTGCAGTCCTGATCTTTCACCAGTTGAGAACATTTGGAGCATAATTAAACAAAAAGTCTGTCAAAGGAGACACAAAACTCTCCAGCGGCTGGAAACCTGTATTAAACGAGTGGGATCAAATTCCAATGGCTAACCTCAAGAAGCTTGTCTCCCCAATGCCCAGACGCCTCCACTCTGTGTTAAAAAGAAGAGGGGATGCCACACCATGGTAAACAGGCCCCTGT